TTCTCTCTCCTAAGCCTACGTACATTTATCCAACACTGTGACCCATTTAGAGGTCTTTTATGTCTGAATCTGTCCTATTGTGTATCTGTAATTCTTTACTGTCCAGGAGCACTTCTTAAAACTTAAGCTGCACCATTCCTAGGGGAAATACAGCAGTTCCTGCTTGCCCTGCCCAGTCCAGCATGGTGGAGCTGCTTGCTGCTTCTACTGCCTCCCAGAGCCATGCACACAGCCAGTCCATGTTGCCATCAAACAAGTCATAGCAGGTTGCTTACAAACCCCATTCAAATGCTCAGTCTCTTGAAAGAGCCAGAGGTCACGTTGGCAGCACAGCCCAGAAAGCTGGCATTTCAAAATGGCGTAGGTTTTCCCCCTATGGCTTAATCAGGACAACCTCTCTTAAAGGAACCACAGCATGCCACTAGCAAGCAAAACCCATTTGGAAAAAAAAAAGTGGCTAAACTTTATTTTTCAGTGCAGAATTCCTTTGCAAGCCCTCTCAGGTTTTAAGTGGATTTAGTTGGCGACATGGGTGCCAATTTGTTGTAAGGAAGGAGAGAGCTGCTTGTTCATCCCAGCTACCCAGCCCCAAAATACACAGAAACTGTACTAATTAAATCACTGCTTGGCCCATTCACTCTAGCTTCTTATTGGCTAACTCTTACATATTAATTTAACCCATTTCTATTAACCTGTATATTGCTAGAGGCTGTGGCTTACTGGGAAAAGTTCTGGCATCTATCTCTGGAAGGGCTCCATGGCTTCTCCCAGCATTCAGTTTTTTCCCCCTGCCAAGCTCTGTTTCCCTATAGCTCTGCTATAGGCCCAAGCAGTTCCTTTGTTAACCATAGCATACAAAGGTGAATCTCACATCAAGAATCAGCAGTCCTTCTCATGGCTGCTGTTACAGAAGGAGGTAGAAAGGGGTCCTCATATCTGAGGTGTCAATTTACTGGTACCCTGCTGCTGTGTGTTTTTCTACAGGTCACTTAACTTCTCTGTGCTGCTTGTTATCTCATCCACACAATGGAGACTATCCTAGTTTCTTTTTTTAAAGATATATTTATTTATTTTGTCATCAGTGTTTTTGATCTTGGCCATTCCTACAGGTATAAAATGGGATCTCAGAGTTGTTTTGATTTGCATTTCTCTCATGATTAAAAATGTTGAGCATTTCCTTAAGTGTCTTTCAGCCATTTTAGATTCCTCTGTTGAGAGTTGTCTGTACTCCATTTTTTATTGGATTATGTGTTCTTTTGATGTCCAATTTCTTGAGGTCTTTGTATATTTTGGAGATCAGCTTTCTGTCTGATGTGGGGTTAGTGAAGATCTTTTCCCATTCTGTAGGCTGTTGTTTTGTCTTGTTGACCGTGTCCTTTATTTTACAGAAGCTTTTCAGTTTCAGGAGGTCCCATTTATTAATTGTTTCTCTCAGTGACTGTGCTACAAGGGTCTGTACTCCATTTTTATTGGATTATTTGTTCTTTTGATGATCAATTTTTTTAGTTCTTTGTATATTTTGGAGATCAGTGCTAGGCTTCCTTGAGCTTCCTTATTCCCCAGGGAAAGATGAGTTTGCTATCCACCCATTTCGCAACCCCACAACACAAGATGCCTGTTCTGCAGCCCCACAATGCAGGACAATCAAATGTGACAGGGAGTGTCAAAGCAGGAACTCCAGTTATTACTGTGAGCATCAGCTTATATAGGTCAAGTGACATGGTGTGATGTGGGGGTCCCTCCATCCAATGAGAGACAGCCAAGACTACCGAGTTTTTGCTGTCTCATCCTCATTCAAACTCAAGCCAGATTTTTCTCTATCTTATAGGCCTTGAGGTACAGGCCCTAAGATAATTTTGACCCAACAATTGTACCTTTTTCTGATGTGGGGTTAGTGAAGATTTTTTCCCATTCTGTAGGCTGTCGTTTTGTCTTGTTGACTGTGTCCTTTGCTTTACAGAAGCTTTTCAGTTTCAGGAGGTCCCATTTATTAATTGTTTCTCTTAGTGTCTGTGCTGTTGGGGTTATATTTAGGAAGTGGTCTCCTGTGCCAGTGCATTCAAGTGTACTTTCCACTTTCTCTTCAATGAGGTGCAGTGTGGTTGGTTTTATGTTGAGGTCTTTGATCCATTTGGACTTGAGTTTTGTGCATGGTGATAGATACAGGCCTAGTTTGATTCTTCTACATGTTGATATCCAGTTAATTATGCCAGCACCATTTGTTGAATATGCTTTATTTCTTCCATTTTATATTTTTGCTTCTTTGTTGGAGAGGTTGTGGGGTAAAGGGAACACTTCTTCATTGCTGGTGGTAATGCAAGCTGGTACAGCCACTTTGGATACTAGTATGGAAATTTCTCAGAAAATTAGGAAACAATCTACCTCAAGACCCAATAATACCACTTTTGGGTATGTATCCAAAGGATGCTCAATCGTACCACAAGGACATGTGTTCAACCATGTTTATAGCGGCATTGTTTGTCATAGCCAGAACCTGGATACAACCTAAATGCCACTCAACCAAAGAATGGATAAGGAAAATGTGGCACATTTACACACTGGAGGACTACACAGCAGAAAAATAATGACATTTTGAAATTTGCTGGCAAATAGATGGATCTAGAAAACATCATATTGAGTGAGGTAACCCAGACCCAGAAAGACAAACATCGTGTGTACTCACTCCTAAGTGGCTTTTAGACATAAAGCAAAGAAAAACCAGCCCACAAATCACAATCCCAGAGAACCTAGACAATAATGAAGACCCTAAGAGAGGCATACATGGATCTCATCTACATGGGAAGTAGAAAAAGACAAGATTTTCTGAGTAAATTGGGAGCATGAGGACCATGGGAGAATGTTGAAGGGGAGGGGAGAGGCAGGGAAGGGAGCAGAGAAAAATATATAGCTCAATAAAACCAATTAAAAAAGATTTATTTATTAATTTTATGTATGAGTGCTCTATTGGCATGCCTGACTTTATGCCAGAAGGGGGCAGCAGATCCCACTACAGATGGTTAGGAATCACATTGTGGTTACTGAGAATTGAACTCAGGACCTTTGAAAGAACCACTGAGCCATCTCTCCAGCCCCTATCCTATTTTCTTGAGCCAGTGATAGGTATGCTTTTTAACTATAGTGCCTTTCGAAGTGGACTCTAATCTGTGATTAACAAAGTCAGGCCTGCCTTTTCTTTCCCTGCTATCCATGGCCCCTTTCTTTTGCCCTAGGCAGACACTGACTTCATCTTTATCCTTACAGATTAGTCTAGGCCATCCTAGAACACCTATAAGCGGATTCACAGCCTCCTGCCTCTGGGATATCTGAGCTCTGCTCCTGGCTGCTCATTTCCTCCGGTGCTGACAGCGCTCTTTCTGCAGGAGACCTCACGGTGCATCTCCCATTTTCCTCGGTGTATTTGACACATTGATCCTAGGGCTGCTTTAAATCACCTCACCAGAGTCATCCGCACACAGGATTTTTTCTGCTGGATGGTCGGGTGTTGTTCTGATGCTTGTCAAGGGCGTGGGGAGATACAATACAAAATGCCACAGATTAAAGAAAAGGTCTCATCCCACATTGGAGCACGGGACTGAAATCTCAAGGTCCAAATCAGAAGCAGAAGGAGAGAGAGCACGAGCAAGGAACTCAGGACCGCGAGGGGTGCACCCACACACTGAGACAATGGGGATGTTCTATCGGGAACTCACCAAGGCCAGCTGGCCTGGGTCTGAAAAAGCCTGGGTTAAAACCGGTCTCGCTGAACATTGCGGACAATGAGGACTACTGAGACCTCAAGAACAATGGCAATGGGTTTTTGATCCTACTGCACCTATTGGTTTTGTGGGAGCCTAGGCAGTTTGGATGCTCACCTTACTAGACCTGGATGGAGGTGGGTGGTCCTTGGACTTCCCACAGGGCAGGGAACCCTGATTGCTCTTTGGGCTGACGAGGGAGGGGGACTTGATTGGGTGAGGGGGAGGGAAAGGGGAGGCAGCAGTGGGGAAGAGACAGAAATCTTTAATTAATTAATTAAGAAATAAATAAATTAAAAAAGAAAAGGTCTCATGAAGTTAGAATATAGTGAGTGAGTGACAAGTTATGTGTCATTAAAACTGTAACTCTGACTTACATATAAGTCTGACTAAAATATAAAAATAATGGATGCCACAGGAAATAAAAAGAACAAATTGTAACCATGCTATAACACTTTTGTTGCTGAAGTTTTGAAACTGTGTAACCCAGGCTGGTCTCAAGCCCCCCCCCCAACAGATCCCCTCTGCCCCGGTGGGCGTCGCCATGTGTGGCCATAGCAACATTTTCTGAGAGTGTTCATTCATGTGAACTAAGAGCGAGTTACAGGCAGAAACTAGAACTGGATGCATGCTGGATGCTGGGCACAGCTCCTGGGTTGGGCAAGCACTGCCATATCTTTGTCTGGTTGAGATACTGGGGCGTTTGTTGGACTACATATTCCCCTCAGATCTACACCGGCCTTTGTTGGGTATTTGGTTGTCTTCAGGAGCAGGGCTCCCCAGAAACACCACACTCATTTGAAATCTAACCACCCATCTTTGGCTTTGGCCCCCAACCTGGCCCCTTAAGTGTCTTCCGAGTTCATTCCCAACTCTGACCTGGAACCTCTTCATAGCACCTTGGGGGTTGATTTGTGACTGGGGGTTGTTTCTCACTCGTGCTCCAGGGATAAGAAATGGATGAGATTGCTGGCTGGGATCTATATTAACAATCTATGGCTGCTAACATGTTAGGTGTCCTCAGAATAGCTTTGTAGCCACCTTCACCGTGAATCAACATTCTTGCTTTTAGGAAATTGTAGGGCAGGAGTCTGGGTCAAGGCTGGCTGTGAGAACTGCACTTACAGACGACTTGAGAGGACGTTTTGCGCAAGGTATTTCCCAGCACTGGTGGGATTGTGCCACAGCCCCACAGTCCCTGGCTGGACTCTTGAGCCCTGCCCACATTTGCTATAAAGGTCACTGCACCCTCCAGCCACGAATTAGTTTTTCCTGGCTCTGGTGCCTCTCCATGTTGACATGGTGCTGCACGTGGCTCTTGTCATTTTGAGCCTCTTGCCACTGCTGGAGGCCCAGAACCCAGAGCCTGGCAACATCACAGGCACAGCTATTACCAATGACACGCTGATCTGGGTGAGTGCCTGCCCAGGGCCTGCTCTGTGCACTGCACATAGCTACCTTTCCTCGGGCTTTTCCTTCCCAGTCTGCTCATCTCCAGGCTCCTTCCCTTGCCCCTGCCTAGGACTCTAGTGGCAATCTCCTGCCTCCACACTCAGAAGCTTTCCTCTGAAGTCTCTAGAAGGGACGAGAGCAGTGGAGGCCTGATTTTTGTGTTGCCTGTGTGATCCCGGCCCCGGGCTTCAGTTCCCCAATGTGTGGCTCAGGAGCCCTTTCTTGCCTGCCTCTCATCGCTGCTGACTGCCACACACCAAGGCCTGCTCACCTGTGTGCCTTTATCTTCCCAGCTCTCTGGCAAATGGTTTTACATTGGCTCCGCTCTACGCAACCCCGACTTCAAACAGGCGGCTCAAAAGATACAGGCAGAATATTTTTACTTTACCCCCAACTTGACAGACGACACTCTCCTGCTCCAGGAGTACCAGACCACGTGAGTCCTTGCAGCAGCTCCCCACCCAGCACTGGCCTCCATTCCGGGACGCCTGGAGACCTGAGCAGACTCTGCCTCTGCTTGGCCTTCCCAGCCATCTTCAGGAACGGGGACAGCTGTCTTCTCTACCTGCCCTTTGATCCCCTGCTGGTCACATCTCCTGATCACCTTTCACTTTCGTTCTCCTTCTCTTTGCCTGCAGGGAGGACCAGTGCGTCTTTAACTCCAGCAAGCTGGAAGTCCAGAGAGAGAATGGGACTCTCTCCAAATTCAGTGAGAGCCAGCACTCATGTGGAAGGATCTGCCTCTGGGGGGGGGGGGCGGCTAGGCCAGTTTAGGGGAGAGGGTGGCCAAGGCCCTGGATCCTATGGGCACCGAGGACAGTAGCTGGCCAGCAGAAACAGAGTTCATGCCGTGTGCTGGGCCCTGCTGGAAACACTTTATGTGAACTTGGCCCTTTCTGGGAGGGTATGGCAAGGGTCAGAGGAGGAAACAGCACAGGGTGGTTATGTCATTCTTTTAGCAATCTTTCCCATTCTCTGTGAGCTCAGAGTGGGAACCCATGGGGTGGGCAGCCATGACTTCAGCCATGCCTCCATGTCCCCAGGGACGGCCACACAAATGCTGATGGGCCTGATCAGACACTGTGTAGCAGCCCCGAGGCTTTTAACCCTTGTGCCCCTCCTCTGTGTAATGGGGGTAGATAGTCACCATCTTTCCAAGGCCCCTGGTATTGCTCATCTTTGAAGAACAGCAGAAACTGGGCACACGGCAGCTCTGGGGAGCCCCAGGCCTTTGCCCACAGCTACTTGCTTCCCAGCCTTGGGAATGGAAACCTTGGCACCATTCCCGTGACTCGGAGCCTTTCCTCCTGCAGAGGGAGCAGAAGAATATGTTGCCCACCTGAAAGTGTTCATGAAACACAGGGGCTTCATGCTTGCCTTTGCCCCGGAAGACAAGAAGAACTGGGGACTGTCCTTGTACGGTAGGCCCCCCACTGCCCCCATCCCCAGCTCCACAGGGTCCTGCCCTTGGTCCCCCACCCACATCCCACACCATGCCTGACCTCCCATGTGCTGACCTGTTCTCCCTGCAGCAAACAAGCCCGATACTGCCCCAGAGCTTCTTGAGGAATTCCTGAAAACTGTCAAAAGTCTGGGCATGGACGAGTCAGAAATCATATATACGGATTGGAAAAAGGTAAATGAAGAGGCTGGATGATACCACCCTGGACGTGGTCTCATTCTCGGTGACCTAGAGGCTGTGGTAGCCCAGGGAGGCAGGTGTCCTCTGCTAACAACTCTGTGGCCTGCAGTGGCAGCTGAGATTCACAGATACCATAGACAGGCAACGAGGCTGGGTATGGGTGGGGTTAAGAAGGAAATCCTGGAAAGACTGGAGAGGATAAGGGGCAAGAGAAAGGGCAACCGAGGGGACGGCTGGTGCCAGGCTTTTCCCTGGCCTTCATTTTCACGACAAGCTGTGGTTGACGTTTTCTGTGGTACTCCAACTCCAGCAAGACTGATGGCTTCAGGTGTAGGCAGGGGTGGCCCAGAGTCTTGATCCCTCTAATCCTGGCCGAGAGAAAGGCTTCCTCAGCTTTGACTTTGTCACAGGATCAGCCAGAGAGCTTGTACGTAGTTTCAGAGAATCGCAGCTCTTTGTGATTCCACCTGAGCCCTACCCGCCACCCCCAATGACTCATTCCCAGGGGGAAACAATCATAGAACTTAGGTGTTTAACAGCTCACCACCCACCTCACAACCAGGGCACGGAGAAAGGTCACTCAGCCACCTGGGGCTCAGCTGCCTCATCTCACCACAGTGGGGCCAGTGGGCTCAACCCGTACCTGTAGTCAGGCGTGCTCAGAAATGCTGGCTCCCATTTGGGGGACTCTGTGCTCCTACTCAATGGGGTGTACAAGCTGAGGCTCAGAGGGGAATGGCTTGAGCTACATACTCCAGAGAAGCCGTGGTAAATCTCGGTTCCAGCTGGCTGACACTACCCTGCCTTTCTGGTCAATCATTGTGATCATTTTTTCCCTTTAAAAAATGTATTTATAGCCAGTTGGTGGTGGCACACACCTTTAATCCCAGCACTTGGGAGGCAGAGGCAGAGGCAGGCAGATCTCTGTGAATTCAAGACCAGCCTGGTTACTCTGTAACTCTACAATCCTCCTGCCTCAGCACCTCCAGGTATGTGCCACCACAAGTGGCTCAGTCACTCTGTCCTCTTCCCTGATGTCTCTTAGGATATGTGCAGTCAGCAGCAGAAGCAGCGTGAGCCAGAGAGAAAGAAGACAGAGGAGGGTCCCTAGGAAGGCCAGGAGTGGGTGGGCTCAGCTCTCTGTGTTCTGTTTTCACGCTCACCATGCCCACCCTGTGCATCTTGGTCCTTTCTTCACACCAATAAAGGCTTGGGAAAACATTCCATAACCATGTCTTTGCTTCATTCATTCATTCATTCATTCATTCATTCATGAGAGCCTGCCATGAGTAGAGTCTCAGCTAAATCCAACAAGCCCCACCCAGGGGAATCTGAGAAGGCTTCCAGGAAGGGGCATCTGAGTCAGGCTACAAAGAGCTGAGAAAAACTGATGTTTTTGTAAGTGCCAATCCCAAGAGGGCACACTTGAAGACGGCAAGGCAGAAGACCACCAAGGAGTCGGGGTGGGGAATCCAGGAATGTAATGCCCATCACAAGGGTGCCATCCTAATCATTGAGGAGAGGTGAGCTGGGAGACCGGTGGGCTCGTGTGGATACTGCCATGGGCATGGTATAAAAGTCCAAGGCAAGATGGCATGGTAGGTTCAGGTGGATGTTCCCAGGAGTTCGCAGGATGCCCATATGCTGACACTGTGAGATGAGACTGACGGACGGCTGATAACTGTCTCACAATTATGACTGGAGTTTGGGGGGCTCAGTCACTGGGTGGCAGACACAAGGCGTGAGATCATCTTCACACTCAAATGGATATGCAATCATCCAGGAGATGTGCTATGTGTGTCTGTGAGGACATTTCCAGAGAGGACCACTCAGCTTGAGCGTGGGCAACGCCGTTTCTTGGGGAGGGGTCTCCACCTACACTCGGCCCTCTGGTGAGGTCATCTTTGCTGCCTGGATGACCAGTGTCTGCAGCCTCCTGACACGGTGTCCCTCTCCACCCAGAACGGGACAGGCAGCGCGCACAGACAGCTCTGTGGAGCCCCGCTCTGCCTGTCAGTACTGAGGGAAGAACGAGACTGCAGAACTGCACATGCATGCCCAGTGTCAAGGTGGGCATGGGCGGAGGTGCTGCTCCATCTGGAAGGAGAATCTGGCCTGGGGCGCTTCCGCTACTACAGCCTTGCTTTGCTGGCCTCTCTGGACGAACGCAGGAGGAAGGAATGCTCAGAGACAATAGAAGGGCAGGCAGATTGTTCTGGAAGTCTATGCAGCAGATACCTGGGGAGATCTTAGCTGGGCATCCGCTTCCCCGCCCCACCCTCATCTTTAAAAGCTGCAAACTTTCAGTAAACACCACAGACACAAGTAGCTTTGGGAATTTCTTTTCCCTTTCTTAAGACCATTATTCATTTTCCTTCATTTGCTTTAATAACGAAAATAGATTTTTAAATGCCTCAAATATATAAACAATCTGTGAAAAACACACATTTCAGAAATGCTAAGATCACCCTGCTATGGGATGGGGAAAGGGGTGCTGGCCTGGTTTCTCAGCCTCAGCCAGGGCCTAGCAGGTCGCGGGAAGGTCTGAGGCTGGCGTCTGTTTCTGGCCCTACATGAGTAGCCTCTGCTCTGTGGGCTCATGGGGGAAACTTCTGTAATCACAGAAGATCTGGACATGTGTCACCGGAGGCCTCTATCCCAACACATTCCACGGGTCCCCAAGTACTCCCTGTCCACAGGCTACTTAGGATGAACATCCCTAGCCAGGGTCTCCCTGCCTCAGCGTGGCTATTTCAGGCAGGGACAGGAACACTGCAGCGACCCTAGGCTTTCCTTGTCCTCGCTGGCCTTCTGAGAAGGATCCAAGCTCTAGGTAGCTCCCCAGTGTAAAGACATTCTGTCCTGTAAGATCCACGTTGTCAGCTGCAGGTGGGCATGGGCAGAAAGGATGGCAAGGAAAGTCTCAGCGGCTCTGCCTGGACAGAGGTAGCCTGATCACTACACCTGTTAGAGCTGGTCCCTGGATTTCCATCTACTACTGCCCAGACCAATGTCTCTCCATTTTAAACATCCTACGTGGAGCAGGCTGGTGGCACTCCTGGGGAGGGGGCATGGTGTTTTCCAGCCACCAGTGGCTCCAGGAGACTTGACTAGAGGTTGAACAGAGGTTGCCCGCCTCCTCGGTTGGAGTCTCCAGGGAGTCAGAAGAGGCAAGAGCCTCGCAGGCTACTGGCGTGGCGCAGGTCCGCAGACAGGGACCGGCTCAGCTGCCGGGTGGTGGCGCGCACATTCTCAGCAGCCTGCGCGGCCTCGTTGAGTGCTGCCTGAAGCTCTTCCAGGTCATTCAGACCCAGGTGGACAGAGTGCCAGGCTCCCCGACGTCCTTGGGCAGGCGGGGAGGCTGTCCGGGCTGAGGTAGGTGCTGGGGTTGCGTAGTATCTGGGGAGAAGGAAGGAAGAGCACGATTTAGCGAGAGCCTGGCAACGGCACGAGCTGTGGGTTGGAGGCCCAGCTGCACATCTGCTCGACACCCTGGTCTGTTTTTGCCCTCTGCGTGGTCCATGTGGAGAGAAGAACTTGGACGGGTAAAGGAGAATACGTGTGGCAGGTGCAAGACACAATTAGCTCACACCATCCTCTCCCTTAGCAGTCAGTGCACCCTGGGGCTGCTACAAAATTCTACTAATATCGGGAACATTCTCTAATCTGCAGGTTGCAGGTACTGATGGAGAATGCTAAGCTGAATGACTGCGCTTCCTGGAGGTATCAGAACAGTTCACACTCCCTCTTTTTGGAGAATCTGGGCTCTCGATGGCTCCCATTCTTTGAGCTCACGTGAGGACCAGCTTGGCCTGAGAGTCCCAAGCTTTCCCTGGCAGTAGCCAAAGGCACTTGGACTACGTAGCCTCTGCTGTGGGGCTGCAGATGGCCAGCAGGTGGCAGCACAGCACCGTTGCAATTTCTAGTTCAGCCATGGCGCATGCTCAGTCCTGCAGTCTGGCCCAAGAGGAACCCGGGGCGTGGTTTGCTCTAACTATACCTAACGCACTAGGCTACTGGCCGCCCTTGATGTAGCACTAGCTTCCCAAACGTTCCTTCTTGTGGTCATCTTAATCATCTCAGAAGAACAAACAGGCCAGAGAGCTACAGTGATCTGTCCAGCTGCTGTCTACTGCATCCCCTCTTCTTGTGGCCACCACAACCTTATGAGCTCTTCCCTAGGCCCAAACTGTAAAGATTTGCCTTGAGAACAGCAGAGAACCCTGAGGCTCCCGGAGGGCTGATAAATGCCACCAATCTCCCTGCCCAGGGACAGGAAACCTGGGCAGGTGTCCATACCATGCGAATCAGGGCCTGGACATGAAGCAAGGCTGCCTGCTGGTGCCTTGGACTTCTGTCCCTCCTGGCATCAGCTGCCACAGAGGCAGCTACCGTCCCGTTCCCCACAGAGGCAGACTGTCTATGGATAACATTGCATCCCAACTAACTCACTTTACAGTGGTGGAAACGGGCTGAGAAGTAGCTGGTGACAGTTAAGCCTAGAAGGGGGGTCTGGAGAGACGGCCGTGGTATCACTCAGTCCGCCATGGCATGCCCCAGAGTACAGAAAACACTGCACAGTCATCCAGTGGAGTCTTGAGACATGTAGCCTTCATCCTCACACACAGTACCTGGCAGAGCCAGCCCCCATTGAACAGATGGAGAAACTGAGGCTGACAGAAACAGTCCTCTGCCTTGGCCACAGCAGTGACGAGAGGGGAGGGTGGAGGGTATTCCTGCGCAGTCATGTCTGACCCTGAAATGTTACCAGGCCATCATGCCCACTCTTCCCTTCTTGGTAGCTGTTGTTCAATATCAAAACCATCTAGTTGGTGGTCCTTGCACGTCACAGGCATGGGCAGAGCAATATGGAGCAGTGGCCACAATCAAGAGGAGCCCAGTTAAACGCAGGGGGAGGAAAGTTGCAGGCTTGGACTAATACTGAAGCGTTGGAGCTGATTCTCTGCAGTAACATGCATGTGTGAAGAGACAGCAGAGCAGGCTATGGGAGGCACAGAGCGTGGGAGAACTGGGAAAAGTCCACTCAAATCTTCTATCTCCTAAATCTAAAAACCATTCCACCAATGAAAATCAGTTGAAAAAAAAGAAGGGAGGAAAAAACCAAGAAACTATTCTTGTATAAATACAAGTTTTACTCACTACATCACTAGGATTCTAGGAACCCAGAAAGTTGCGACTCCGAGAGACAGGGCCCTCTTGCCAGTCTGCTTTACCGCTGGGTCCCCAGTACCCTGTAGTCTGGGTTTGTTGAGTGAGTACAAGAATTTCAGGCTTAGCCGGGCGGTGGTGGCGCACGCCTTTAATCCCAGCACTCGGGAGGCAGAGGCAGGCGGATCTCTGGGAGTTCGAGGCCAGCCTAGTGTACAAGAGCTAGTTCCGGGACAGGCACCAAAGCTACGGAGAAACCCTGTCTCGAAAATCAAAAAAAAAAAAAAAAAAAAAAAAAAAGAAGAAGAATTTCAGGCTTGTGCCCCATTTTACAAGAAGGCTCCACCATGGCTTCCATCCCTCTGACATGATGTAAGACTGGCTTTGCAGGTACTCGGGCAGGTTAGGGCAGCTGGAAGGGAAGACTCACACAGTGGGTGGTGGGTACGGCACAATGGGGGCTGAGGAGATGTAGGCCAAGGCTGGTGGGGTTGGGGCTGAGGGTGCAGCAGCCAGGTACCAGAGTCCAGGGAGCGGTTGTACAGATGAGCCCAACTGCCTGTTCTTCAGCTTGGGACTGGGGGTGGAAGATGCAGTTTTCCTTGGGGTGTCCTTCTCTGTAAGAAAAGGAAGGACACAGAAATTGTGTGAGGTTATGGGCAGATGCAGCCGAGCCTATAGCGTTCCCGAGGTCTGACCAAGCCCAGGATTGAAGGAAGATGCTGAGCGTGCATTCCTACTAGAGCGGGCTGAGCTGGGGCCGTCTACTTCTGCAGTGGACCTGACTGTACCACACAGAGGACAGCGGAGGGCATCAGCCATGGATGGTTCCGGCGGCTCTCTAGAGACAGCACTGCCTGGAAGGGAAAGGCTGGGTGTCAGAGGACAACACAAACAGCGACCACGATGGTGTTTAAGTAGGCACTCTGCCCATCTCCCTCCACAGTCGGGGGAAGCTGAGCTGCCACAAGACAGTACTTTGCCAAAGGAAGTGGCCATCTAATCTCATGCCCAGGTCCTCTAGATGATAAGCCCATTTTGCCTTTGAGATAGTCTTGATCCTCTCAGAGCAATCATTGGAAACCAGGAAA